AATGAAATAAAGTCCTTGTCCTTAAGGAGTTCACACTCTGGTGGGAGAAAAATTCATACACAAATAATGATAACTAAGTGTGACAAGAGTTACAAGTGAGCATATAAAGTATGATGAGAACACATATCAAGGAATGCCTGACTCTGCCTCCTTCTCAGGCAAAGATGGAATAACTTGAGAGGTCAGTGGAGACTGTGTGGATGTTTGAAGTGGAAAGGAAGGAGGGAGCGAACTCCTGGAAGGGCAGAGGCACGTTCCATTGAGGACCCTAAACAGAGGTGGAGATGAATGAAGCTAGATGGCTGAGGCCGGGAGGCCTCTAAGAAGAGTGATGCCATAAGAGCCTGCAGGAGAGAGGTGACAGGGGTCAGGGCGAGGAATGGGTAAGAACTGCTTTCCATGCACTGCAAAGCAAGCCAGGGCGGTATTTGGGGTTTCACTTGCACACCTGGAGGTAAGTTCATTCAGCGGAGCACAGCAATTAGGAAATTATTCTCTTGAGGGCGCCTGGAGGCAGACTGGCTGAGAAAAGAAGCCTCTCTTCTGTAATGGAGGCGGGGCAAATAAGCCAAACCAAGAAGAGACCGCAGCCTGAGTGAGAGCTCATCTGTGAGAGAGGCCTTGGTGACTCATGTAGCCGTGACCAGCATAGGCAGTGCCAGCCCACAGGTCTCTGCCCTGCTAACCATTGTCCCATTCCAGACCTGCTTCTGGGCACATTCTTGGGTTTAACAGCAAGTGAGCAGGCCTCCAAGGGCACCTGCTCCCCACTCTCCTTCCTGAAAGCACACAGACCACAAGGAAACAGACAGATATCACACAAATCCGGTCATGTCTCAGCATACACACACACCTGTGTGCCCATGCACGTGGTCTACCCTCATCTAGGGGAGAAGGAGGTCCAGGTAGTCGTCTAGGCACCATCCTTTGGCTTTTGCTTCTATCTGCACTTGACGTTTACACTTTGTTTCCTTTGATGTGGAGAAAACACGCTCGACTTAGCATTGTGTCTTCCAGATAAGGTATAAGGAGGGAGTGGGGCCAAGGTGTGGCACAAGCTTCTCCATTACGCTTAAGACAGAATCCATTCTAAAAGGGAAGGTGAGACCTTAACTAGCTCATTTTTGAGTGGTGTTAGTTATCTAAAATTATCAAGGGGAAGGAGAAAGGAACAAAAGGGTTGTTAGCCTTCCCAACTCATGACTTCATTTTTGCTTTTAATTAAGTTTATTTACTGTCTTCCATTATGAAGGTAAGACAAGTCATTGCAGAAAATTTGGAAAAAACAAAAATACAAAATACACTGAAAGCCCAGGAAAGGAAAAAAGATCCATCACCCATAATTCTATGTAGAGACATACCTTGGAGATGCTGTGGGTTCCAGTCTAGATCATCACAATAAAGCAAATAGTGCAACAAAGCAAGTCACACAAATGTTTTGGTGTCCAGTGCATGTAAAATTTCATTTATATTCTCCTGTATTCTAAGTGTGCAACAACATTATGTCTTTTTTTTTTTGAGTTGGAGTCTCACTCTGTCACCCAGGCTGGAGTGCAGTCAACAGCATGCTCACGGCCACCACAGCCTTGACCTGCTGGGCTCAGGTAATCCTTCCACCTCAGCCTTCCAAGTAGCTGGAACCACAGGTGCGTACCACCACACCTGGCTAATTTCTTGATTTATTGTAGAGATGAGGTCTCACCAAGTTGCCCAGGCTGGTCTCATAAGTGTGGGCTCAGGCAATTCTCTCACTTTGGCTTCCTAAAATGCTGGAATTATCGGCATGAACTACCACGCCTACAGCATTATATCTTAAAAGAAAAAGTCCTGTGCCGGGCTCGGTGGCTCAGCCTGTAATACCGCGCCTTTGGGAGGCTGAAGTGAGTGGATTGCCTGAGCCCGTGGGTTCGAGACCCGCCTGGGCAGCGAGACCTCATCTCTACAATAAATCAAAAAATCAGCCGGGCGTGGTAGCACGCGCCTGTAATTCCGGCTACTCAGAAGGGCTGAGGCGGAAGGATCGCCGGAGCCCAGCAGGTCGAGGCTGCGGTGGCCAGGAGCGGCCACTGCACTCCAGTCTGGGCGACAGAGCGAGACTCCAACTAAAAAAAAAAAAAAAAAAAAAAGAAAAAGTCCTGTCAGGCACGGTGCCCAGGTTGGCCTCGAATGAACTGTATACTTTATATAGGTGAATTGTGCGGCATATATATTATATCTCATAAAGGTATCAAAAATGATTCATAAACTTATTTTTCCTGTCTATATGATATTTGGTACACTGAGCTCTCATGAATATCATATTCTTTCTTCCTAATGGTTTCATGGGAGTATTAAGGATTTTAAAAATAATGACAATATAGAAATTATTTTAAAGAGCTGATGGACATAAGAAAACTTAGTTACTTTCTAAAACCACTAGGCACCAAAGATAAACAAGTAAATTTAAAAAGATGCCTTAAATGAAACTCACTGAACATTGTCTGGGGGAAAAAAAAAGGAAACAAGGGACCCGAGGCTGGATCACAAATGTGAGCCACATCAGAGGTCAGTAAGGTCACAAACAGTGTTTCTCACGCCTGAAAATAACCAAGGCAGAGAAAAAAACCCGGTCCTAATAAACGGATGCTCCAGCATCATGGTGCCTACAAACACAGGCCTTGGACTGAACTGAGCAGTGTTCAAATCCCAGTTTGAATCAAGGTCAAGAAACCCCAAGCACACTAATCCTGAACCATGTCACCCAAACACTGAATGGTGCCTCAGAGGTGAGTTTGAAGTTCACTGAAAACAAATGCTCCTGAAGTGCCCAGTGCATTATCTGCCCATAATGAACATCTGAGAAATAGTTGTGATGATGATGATGAGGGTGATGTCAGCTGCTTTTGAGCAAACTGGAATGCAGGAATCCAAATCTTAGCCCCCCAGATGTCCCCGCTTAAGTACTACCGCATTTTTCTACTAACTCCGAAAGGGCCTGAAGGTATTTATATTACCATGAGAGTTTCAGCTGTGACCAGAGATCATTTGTGCAATTTTTACATTCCAGCACACTAAATGCTTTCTCATGCAGAGATAAAAGAAGCCTTTGTCCCAAGCTTGTGAAAAGCACCATCTTTGTTAGATTAGTTAACTGTTAAACGTAGTGTTGTGGCAACGGCATGTTGGGAAACCCCAAGAAGCTAGGCACACCCAAAGAGTGAAATGGGGTGGGTTTTCGGAAGGCAGGTCTCATATATGTGTGTGTGTGCGTATATTCTAAGGTTCTGAGTGCTGTCTACATGTCAAGCACCATGCTCAGTGCTTCCTGTCTTACAACAGCCTTATGAGCTGGGAACTTTGACTAGCCCTCACTTTATAGGTAAGGAAACTGAGGATTAGCAAATTTCAGTGTTTTCCCAGAGAGAGATTGCAAGTGAATGACAGAGCTGAGGTTTGAACCCAGGATCACACATGCACTCATCCATTCTGCTCCACTGACTAGAATCAATTCTAGTGAGATAAGCCCTGCAGATAGATGGTAGCTTAATTTTCTGAGTAGTGACTGTTGGCAAGAATGGTCATTTAAAAGCACCCCAAAAAACAAAGACTTTACTTAAAGGTCTGCTTCAGATTAATCATTATCCTGCTTTCAGTCATTCTGGCAGCAGTCCTGGGGGCGGCCCACAGCACTCCCATGGAGCATAAGGCTGCTTTGAGGCAGACGCTGCAAACCCTCACATCTGGGTAGAACCACAGGACATAACTGGATCTTTCTTCTCTCCTTCCTCTCTCTGGAAACAAAGTCCCCAGTTTCTCCAAGGGTTTTAGGAGAGCAGCCGTGTCACGTATTCTCCAAAATAAGAATGTCCTGAGAGTGAAATGGGCACTATAAGTAACTATGTGGGCATAAGCTGGGACGTTAGTTTCAGATCATCCTGGTTGAGGTTGCTTAGTCTTTCTACAAACTCTATGTGAACCGCACAAGTGTGTCAGAAACCTAAAACACAGAGAAACATGAGGCATGGACCTTCCTTCATGAGCTGCTCTAATTGCTGGGTCATGTCTGCACCCCCCAGCTAGCCTCATGGTGAAAGTATTTTGTCCAACTGGGGGGCCAGCACAGGCGTGGAGAATCACAAAAGTTACCACAATCATTGCAATGTGTTTCAGGAATTCAGGGGATGGGCCAATGCCAACAACTGCTTCATTAACATAAGCCCAAAAAAGTCTAAACGTCACTTTTGTGGATCCAGAAAACAACACAATGACCCCAATAAGCTCTTGCTCAGCCCTAACCAGTTAATTATTTATTTGCTTTGTTTCGAAAGGGAGGCTTTTATGTCTCCTCATCCTCCTTACTCATTCTGGAACTCAGGAACACACTCATTCTGACAGCTCTTCTAATTCCAGCTCCAGGCTTGCTTGAGGAGTACCAGAACTTCCAGGTTAAAAAAAAAAGTCTAAATTTTCTATTCATTAGATCAAGCTAAGAGAAAAGCAGTAAGAGTTTCCCACAATTTTTCCAACAAAAGGAATGAAATGTATGAGGATTCGGAACAAGAAGAGTCCTTAAGGATCTGCGTGACCAACTTCTTCCTTCCAGAAGAGGGATCAGGGCCTGAGAATAAAGAGCCAAGCCAGAGCACACCCCAGTGGGACCAGATGGGACTCCTGGCCCATTTCTCTTTTATTATATGATTTGGTTAAAACACATCTCATGTTTTTGATCTTCTCGGCAAAGAGAAGAACGAAGGGAGGGAGGGATGGAGAGAGGGAGGAAGAAAGGAAGGAGAGAGAAGGAAACAAGGAAGGAAGGCAGAAAGGAGGACAGAAAGAAAGGAAGGAGGATGGGAGGGAGGAGAGAGAGGAGAAAAGAACAGAGGAGTTAGGTCTGGATCCAGTCTATTAAAGCTTGATGATAATTTCAAATGACTAATGTAAGGAGATTTGAGGGAAAATAAAGAGACAGAACCAAAATGGTCTCAGTAAGCCCCTGGCAAGAGGACAAAAGTGTCACCTACCTTTGGTCTTGATGGCTGTTTCAATGTTCAAAGCATCCCGCTCTGCATCAAAGTTGGTGTAGGCTTTGACTGACCCATAGGCACTTGAGGGTGTAGAGTGCTGAGGTTAAAAGACAAACAAACTCAGATAACACACACAGGAAATCCTCTTGTTGAAATAACAATTCCTAACATAAAGGTTTTCCTACTGTTTCTTTTAGCGACTCAAATTCTGTTTATACTAGGTAACTAGGCTAAGTATTAACACGCCTGCACACATCGGGTAAGAAATTTCATTTTTTTCTCATGAGAATTCCTCTTCAAAGGCTCAGCTCATTTTGAATATGCTAATGTCCACGTTTCATCTTACTTTAGTGAGCGCTCAAAAGCAGACAAGCCAAGGCTGGGAACCTGAAGCCAGCATTTATTCAGGAAGGCTCTGAAGGGCATTAAACTGGGCTGGCAACCACTTGAAAATGTGGAAATGCCAGTCATCGAGCCAAGGTCTTGCTACAGTCACGTGGATTTCTGCAGGGCCCGCATTGTTGAGCTCACAAGTCAGGTGAGTGAGGGAAGTGGCTTCCTCCACTTCACTTTGACTACCACTGTGGCATCAAGGTAGTCTGGCCAGACAGTCCTCTTCATGTTTGCCAAGTTCCTTCTTCTCTCTCTCATCCTGTCTCTTTCTCTCCTTTCTTCTCTGTTCTTCCCTCTGCCTTTTTAGCACTATCCCCTATGCCTACCAGTCTTCCTAATACCTCATTCTTATTGCCTTATAAACCATACCCTCTTCCTTTCACCTTGCATTCCAAAGCCTATTACCCTTCCTAAGCCAGGCACAGTGGCTCACGCCTGTAATTCCAGCACTTTGGGAGGCCGAGGCAGAAGAACCGCTTGAGCCCAGGAGTTTGAGACCAGCCTAGGCAACACAGTAAGACCTTGACTGGATGGATGGATAGATAGATGATAGATAGATAGATAGATAGATCGATCAGCCAGGCACAGTGGCCTGTGCCTGTGGTCCCAGCTACCATGGAAGCTAAGGTAGAAGGATCGCCTGAGCCCAGAAGGCTGAGGCTGTGATGAGCTATGATCGTGCCACTGCACTCCCCAGCCTGGGTGACAGAGAGAGACCCTAACTCAAAAGAAACGAAATGAAAAAGCCCACTTCCCTTCCTGATCTCACCAGCAAGAAATTTCTCCCAGCCCACTCCAAATGAAGGTGATAGAAGTGGCGTGCTACACATCAGTTCTCCTTTCCAAGGCATTAAAGTCCCTTCTGTAAAATGCTCTTCTAGGCTTCCCCCTCCCTGCTACCTAGTCCCAAAGCCAAGGGCAGACAAACAAACAAGATGGACAGCGTGGTTTTGGTTGGCCAATGGCAGCCAGCTCCACATTCCCACCTTCAATGTCAAGCCCCCCGTTGCCCCCCCCGCAATACCTCTACCCCTACCCCTCAGGCCATAATGCCCATATCATGTAATGACTTGACTTTGGCACACCTTCTGTTAAGACCCAGAGTCAAGAGGCCGAGAGGCCCTGTCTGTTCCACCCACAGGCATCACGTTACGAACTACCCAGCACCCATGCCATCCCTTTTTATTAGCACTGAGGTGTACAAGAAAGCAACTAAGATGCCTCCCTCTCAGTTATCTCCCAGCACACACCAGAAATCTAAGTTCAGGATTTGACAAATGTTTCAAAATGTGCTTGTAAGGAGCATCGTGGCCAAATAGTAAGTCTGGTTAACACTTATAACTCTGAAACACAAATGGATTATCAAAGTATGTTTCATTTAATTTCACTACTTAGACTTTCCAGTATTGAAAACGGAACACATACTTAGAAAAATTTAAAGGGAAAGTACTGTTTTGAAATACTGCATTTGCTATGGTAGCTACAAAACTACAAAGTTTCTCATTTTTTAAGAGTGCGGTCAGGCTCAGTGGTTCATGCTTGTAATCCTAGCACTTTGGGAGGCTAAGTAGAGAATATTGCTTGAGCCCAGGAGTTTGAGACCAGCCTAGGCAACACAACAAGATCTTGTCTCTACAAAAATTCAAAAAATTGGCCAGGCATGCCAGCATGCCTATAGTCCTAGCCACTCGGGTGGCTGAGGCAAAAGAATCACTGAACCCGAAGGATCACATGAGCCCAAGAGATCGTGGCTGAGGTAAGCTGTGATCATGCTATTGCACTCCAGCCTGGGTGACAAAGTGAGACTCCAACTTAAAAAAAAAAATGTCATCAGTTCTTTACAAAGGCAGACAGTCTGGCATTGAGCCATATTACAGCTGACTTCAATTACCAGGAGATGTTATCCAACCCCAAAAACAACGGTGAGTGGGGGAAAGTTTTGCATAATTTTATGGTATCTCTGGGAAAAAAATGAAATGGAAAAGTAAACCCATTACCTATAAAATCCACTTGTCTGAAGTGGAATTTATTGAGGTAAAAGTGATCTCAAATTATTGAGTCAAAGGTGATCTTTTCTTCCCTTCTTTTTTTTGTTTGAGTTAGAGTTTCACTCTGTCACACAGCCTGGAGTGCAGTGGCATTCTCACAGCCATAACAGCCTCGACCTGTTGGGCTCAAGTGATCCTTCCACCTCAGTCTTCCAAGTAGCTGGAACTACAGGCACGCGCCACCATGCCTGGCTAATTTTTTGATTGATTGTAGAGACGAGGCCTCACCAAGTTGCCCAGGTTGGTCTCGAACCCCTGGGCTCAGGCAATCCTCTCGCCTCCGCCAAAGTGCTGGGATTACAGATGTGAGCCACCATGCCCAGCTCTTCCCTTTAAATTTTGAAAAATACAAGACATTTTCTATTTCTTTCCCATTTCCCCATGCAGAGAAATGTATCATAGTAAAGTAACTTCAGAGACCACATGAAAAGCTCTCTCCTAAAACCTGACACTAAAAACAATCTGATTATTAAATCCATTAGTGAAACAAATTATTTAGCACCTGGACTTGTCAGGTACCTCAACATGCAGCTTGTATTGTTGCAAACAACAGCATGCACAAGAAGAGAAAAAAAAATTTGTAGACCATATATAGACTTTATACTCCACACAACCGGTGTTTGCACAGACCTCTTTCATTTGAACATTTATTTTGCTGGCATGTGCTATGGACAATACCGAGGGTCTTACCATGTGACCCAAAGTTGCTGTCAACCCTCTTGAGTGCTTTTTTGCATTTTAATTTCAATGAAAGCGTATTCTGAAAGATCTGCAGGATACGGTTACAAATCAGTGTCACTGCCAAGCTTTTGTAAAAGCCACTTCTGCCAAGATGACCTGGAAGATGTACGGCATTATTAGTTATTTTACATATTCATAATTTATATTGAACTTGATTTTAAAAGCATTTGCAATGAATTAAGAAGCAAATGCATCGGAATTTCCAGGTTCACACAGTTCTTATGAAAGACAATTAAATTTAACTCTAAGCTTCCTCATAGCCAAAACAAAAGACATGATGACTATAATTTCTTTTTTGTTGTTTTAAAGAAACAATCTAGTTCTTTGAAGAATAAAAATATAGGTCCTCATCTGGAATAACTTCTTAGACACTGTAAGCAGTACAAAAGATGCAGAATTATTTTTGATACGGCTATAGCTTATGCCAAGCATTAATAAAATCCTGGGGTATGACATTAAAAGGCACGTATCATCATAACAAGTATTTCCATTGACATGCTAAGTATAGCAGGATAAAATTCCAGCCATCCCAGTGTCACTAATTCTGTCCAGTTTTAACGTGAAGTCAAAAAAGTTTCTAGTGCCATGACATTTTCTTCAACTTGAACTACTAGGGACAGTCAATGTAATGAGAAAGAGGGAGGAACCAAATAATGACTGTCTAAATTGTCCCCATATTCTTTGGGTGTAGAAGGAAAGAGAGCAGAGTTAGTTATCCAAAACAATGTCCAATTTGCAAAAATTACATAAAGTAAAAATGATATACTTACATCACCCTCCAAGCTGAGCTTGCACAGAATTTCATGAACAGTAGACATTTTGAAGGAAGCTGGAAAAAAAAGTGCAACAAAAAGTCTTTATGAAGAGGCTTTCTTTTCCCCTGAAGCACAGTGACACATTTTACTAATTTCTACTTATTGGACCATGTCATCTGAAGATATTAGAGCAATTTTTGCAAACAGATGTAATTCTCATATTGTGATTTTTTTAAAAAAAGCTTAGAGATGGTTTGCCTTAGGTTGGCATAGACTACTCAACGAACCAGTCTTTCCTTTGCACTGTTTAAACAAATAGTGGAGAGACTTATTTGTGAATGCAAAACTAAAACGCTTCCCAAGGCTAAGGCAACGTGTTCAAACAGGATAAAACTGAGTCTTCCACTTCTCCAAAAAGGTGAGAAGCTTGTCAAAACAGCCACTCCTTCTGTGTTTTTCACAAGCAATTGAACATGTTGAGAAGGATCTGAAAGCTACAGGTGTGAACTGAAATCAGGATCATTTTCATGTTGGCTTACTTCTAACTGAAATCTTTTATTACCATCCCTAATGGATTCCTTTTTTTTGTTTGGTTTTTATTTTTTCGAGTCGAAGTCTCACTCTGTCACCCAGGCTGGAGTGCAGTGGCATGTTCACGGACACTGCAGCCTTGACCTGCCGGGCTCAGGTAATCCTTCCTCTTTGGTCTTCCAAGTAGCTGGAATCACAGGCATGTGTCACCTTTGCCCGGCTAATTTTTTAATTTATTGTAGAAACAAGCTCTTGCCAAGTTGCCCAGGCTGGTCTTGAACCCCTGGACACAAGCAATCCTCTCACTTCCGCCTCCCAAAGTGCTAGGATTACATACATGAGGCACCACACCCAGCCCTAACGGTTTTCTTAGTTCAATGATGTTTGGAAGATATTGAATTGCTTATAAGAAAGACAATGGAAGATTTTCTGACCTTAACTCATTCCATTGAGGACTGAATCCCTTGTATTTAAGATTCAAAATGTCAGCCTGGCCAACTTGGTGAGACCTCGTCTCTACAATAAATCAAAAAATTAGCCAGGTGTGGTGGCTTGTGCCTATAGTTTCAGCTACTTGGAAAGCTGAGGTGGGACGATTGCCTGAGCCCAACAGGTCGAGGCTGCAGTGGCCATGAGTGTGACACTACTACACTCCTGCCTGGACTCCAACTCAAGAAAAAAAAAAAGATTCAAAATGGCTGAAATGATGTCATCTTCTTCCAGTCAATACACTTACTGGGGCAGAGACACACTAACCTAACGAATGAGCTTTCCACCTTTGTAAACGTACAGTTCTCGGAATTGACACACCCTATCCCTGCCAATAAGGCATACTCAATGGGCAGTACATTTATCTCAAATGAGGCAAGACAAGCCATTCAGCATAATTACTCCCAAAATAAAGAAAACAGAGCAGAGCTGTGTCCTGAAACAGTCGGGAATGACATTTTCACTGCAGCAACTTCTGCCTTGGTCTCTGTTTCCTTAATATTCTTTGACCAAGGAAATTGTGCACATGCAAATTCAGCTTTCTATTCTCTTCAGACAGTTTGCTCAGTCCAAATATTTCCATAAAACTGGCTTGGGGGAGTATCTGACATAGACATTTGCTAACTTATAAAAATATTTTGAACTAAGCAGAGTCCAGGCCCTGTGTGTGGAGGGAGGTGGCAGAAGGTAAGGGGAGAGGATCCGCCTTTATTTGTGGTCAAGGATGTATTTTTTGACAAGATTTTCCTTTTTTTTTTTAGAGTGAAAATATCGTTTATTTGGAAAGTAAATTAGAGAGAGAGAGAGAGAAGATTCACCTCCCCAAGGTAGGGGAGGGTGCCAAAGCTAGGAAACACGGCGGCCATAGTTCAAGGAGCTGCATGGCCAGACCTTAGCTAAGCAAAGCAGTGGCCAACTTTTGCAGGATTTTCATCCCACATGCTCTTCTACATCACTCCTCTCTTCTGAGGACACAGCAAAAAGAAAGTCAAAGATATTCCAACAGTTTCCACTCCCGCAACGCTCAGATAGCTTTCATCCCCAATGTCCCACCTATGGGTATGATTCTGATTTGTTAAAAGCCTTGCTCTATGTGGTACATCCAAACAGTAGAATAGTATTCAGCACTGAAAAGAAATGAGCTGTCAAGCCATGAAAAGACATGGAGGAACCTTAAACACATGTCACTAAGTGAAAGAAGCCAATCTGAGAAGATGATGTATTCTATGGTTTCAACTACATGACATTCTGGTACAGGCAAAACTATAAGGACAGTGAAAAGATCTGTGGCTGCCAGGAGCTGAGGGGGAAAAGGGATGAAGAGGTAGAGAACAGAGGATTTACAGGGCATTGAGATTATTTTATATGATATTATAGCTGTGGACACGTGTCATTATATGGTTGTCAAGATCCATGTACAACACTGAGTGTGAACACTAATGTAAACTACGGATGACTCTGAGTGGTGAGGATGTGTCAATGTAGGTTCACTGATTCTAACAAATGTACCCCTCTGGTGCAGATGGTGACAGTGAGGAGGCTGTGCATGCGTGGGGACTCTCTGTATTTTCCCCTCCATTTTGCCTTGAACCTAAAACTGCCTTAAAAAGTAAAGACGATTTAAAAAGTCTTGTTCCGTAGCTGAACTATCGAACACAGTAGCCACCAACCCCATGTGGCTACCAAACATTTGAAACGCGCTCAGTCCAAACTGAGATGTGCTGTAAGTATAAAAAACACGCTGAATGTTTAAGGCTTGAAAAAAATTAAAAATATCTCATTAACATGTATGTTAGGAGAGAATGTAACAATCTCTCATCATATAATCTTTTATATTACTTATATATTGCAACTATGACATGTTGGGTGGATTGGGTTAAAAAATATATACTATTTACGTTTAATTTCATCCATTTCTCCTTCCTACTCCTTTTTTGGGGGAGGGGGGTGACAGAGCCTTGCTCTGTCTTCCAGGCTGGCGTGCAGTGATGCAACCATAACTCACTGCAACCTCAAGCGATCCTCCCACCTCAGCCTCCTGAGTGGCTAGGACAAAAGGCACACCACCATACCCAGATAATTTTTAAATTTTTTGTAGAGATAGAGTTTTTCTATGCTGTCCTGGCTGTCTTTACCTTTTTTTTTTTTTTAACATGGCTACAGGAAATTTACAATTGCATATGCAGCTCACATTCTATTTATATTGGGCAGTGCTGATCTAAAGGATCCCATGGTCCAGTTTTACTCCTAAACCTTTTATAGTAGCCAGGTCAGCTAAGAATCAGATTTCTTGTCAAAAAGGACAAGTTTGAGTGTTCCTTGATAGGGCAAGAAATCTCCAGCTCCATCATGGACCAAGAAACACTCCCGAGGGTCTCATTGGTATCCTTCAGTCTAGGAATTACCGAAGTAGAGGCAGATTCCCTAGGGCATCCAGCCCCACACGTCCTGGCCTTAACTATCACCCCTGGGACTCAGTCAGAACTGGACTAGGTCTACATTGAAGGTAAAGCCATCGCCATCTGCCTCAAGGAATTCCAGTCACTACTGTAAACAGCTAAAGAAAATTAAAAAGCAGGGGACCAGCAAACCAGAGCAGTCAACTGAGTTGCTTTTACTTATGCAGTGTGCATTCACCTCCACATGTTTATTAAATCAGGTACCTCACATTGGCTCTGATGTCCAGGAAATCTCAGAGGCCCGGTAAGTTCCCAGTGTGTCGTTCTTTCAAGCTGTCTGTCAAGCCCTGAGCTTTGCAGACAGTTGCCTAACTATGCCCCCCCGGGACCCCCCAGTACTGTCCATATCAAAGACGTTAGATTGGCCCCTTCGCACTCTCCATTCATGCTGACTCTGCTGCAACAGCCACCACGCCTTAAGGAGACTTTTCGGCGCTCCGCCCATCTTCCTTTTGGTCTGGCCATTCGTAATTGTGCCACTCTTTCATCAAATCAGTCCTGCATGCCGCTATCAACTAAATCTAGTTAATCTTGTCAAAATAGTTCAAAACCAGTCCTTTGTGGCTTCCTCTTACTCCCACAGAGTCCAGTCTTCAAAGATGTGCATCAGAATCCAGCCTCAGCACCCTCCGTCTACTCCCCGGCTGAAGTTGACGAGGGCCAAATGAAGACTTGCCTCTCCCCAAACATGCAGCACCCTTTGCTTCGGAAGGACCTTGGTCCCTGCTTCCTCCCCCATCATCTTATGCTCTTTTCTTCTGTTTAGGGGGCCCTGGCCCACTCCTCAAGTCACACTACATAGGCTTCTGCTCCAACAGGCGCACCACAGCCCCTATTCCACAGAACTCTCTCCAGCCTTTCAATGCCAGTGAACTTTTTTTTTTTTGAGTTGGAGTCTCACTCTGTCGCCCAGGCTGGAGTGCAGTGGCACACTCACCGCAGCCTCGACCTGCTGGGCTCAGACGATCCTTCCGCCTCAGTCTTCCAAGTAGCTGGAACCAGGAGTGTGCCACCGGCCCGGCTAATTTTTCTATTTATTGTAGAGACAAGGTCTCGCCAAGTTACTCAGGCTGGTCTCGAAGCCCTGGACTCAGGCATTCCTCTTGCCTCGGCCTCCTAAAGTGCTGGGATTACAGGCTTGAACCATGTGCCCAGTTCTGACCCTGTCTTTAAATTTAAAAAAAAAAGGCCATGAGTGTGCCACTGCACTCCAGCCTAGATGACAGAGTGAGACTCCAACTCAAAAAAAACCCAAAAAACAAAAAAACAGGGTCAGGTCGGGCGGGGTGGCTCAGGTCTATAATCCTAGCACTTTGGGAGGCTGAGGTGAAAGGATTGCCTGAGTCCAGGGTTTCAAGACAAGCCAGGGCCACTTGGCAAGTCCTTATCTCTACAATAAATAAAAAAATCAACCAGGCATGGTGGCACACACCTGTAGTTCCAGCTACTTGGAAGGCTGAGGCGGAAGGATCGTCTGAGCCCAGCAGGTTAAGGCCATGAGAGTGCCATTGCACTCCAGCCTGGGCTACAGAGCGAGATTCTGACTCAGAAAATAACTAACTAAATAAAATAAAGACAGGATCTTTTGCTCTGTCACCCAGACTGAAATGCAGTGGAGAATCAAGACTCACTGCAGCTTCGAACGCCTAGGTACGAGTGACCCTCCCACCTCAGCCTCACAAGTAGCTAGGACCGCAGGCTTGTGCCACCATACCCAACCTCTTTGTTGTTGTTTTGTTTTTTACAGACAGGGTCTTGCTATGTTGACCAGGCTGAACTCCTGGGCTCAAGCCCTGGTCTACTTTAGCAGGGGAGTAGGCAGAGAGGGAACTGAGGCTGGATTCTGAGACTGATCTTTGAAGGCCAGGCTCTGCTGCCTCGGTCTCCCCAAGTGTTGCGATTCCAGGTGTGAGCCACTGTCACTTTGACGCAGCTTCATTCATCCATTCAGCAGAATGTATTAAGTGTCCTCCACACGATGAGTATTCAAATGCCAAATTGCAGGTAAACTCAAAGCAGCATAAAGTATGTCTCAGTTCCCCTACAGATTTAAGAGTCTCTTTGCATACTTTAGGTGACAAATAAACTTGAAAACAATGAATGGCTATTTTCAATAAGTAACATTTATATGTATATAATGTATAACATTCTGCAGAAAAAGTAAAAATGTCACAATAACCACAAAGTCTCAATGACCACAAAGCTATCTCCATAAAGTCTGTCATTATTCCATGCAAGCACCTTTCACATCTATATAAATACTTCCCAATTCAATCGAGTTTAATGGCAAACAGATTCTCACCTTAGAAATAAAATATGGTCCTGGCTTCTTCACCCCATTAAACCCCCTAGCAAGACAAGGTCATTTTGCATATGATTAATTGGTCACTAAAATAAATAGTTGGCTTTGCCTCTCATAATGTTTGTCAACACACTCGTTTAATATAGTACATTTGAGTCATGAGAATGTGTCAGTGTGCTGTTACCCTTGAAAGCAGAAAAAGTAAGTCTTGGCCGTGTTACTATAGGTTACAAACACTAGTAATAGTCAAGTAATCAATCAACAAACCTATCACAAGCACACACTGGACCCGCAACGACATCAAGGGCTACCAAGACACATAAAAAACTGCGAAATGCAGACCTCCCCCACCTCACAGGGCCTCTGCACTCTCTTCCCTTCATGCCTCTGTGAGACACTAAGAGGACAGCCCAAAGCTACCCAAGGAATGAATAGCTGAGGCAGGGCCAGAACCCAGATCTCCTGGGTCATTGCCCTTCAACCTCACCACAGCGGTCCTCCATTCCAAGAGATTAAAACATAGAGAGAAAGATCAAACTCACACTAGCAAGAACAGCAACAGGCTTAACGGGGCAGTACTGACTGAATGTGAGTCACCACCAAGGGAGCTTCCAGCCAAGAAATGGGGGAAGGCCGGAGGAGAGAGGAAGAAGACTATCCCAGGGTAGTGGGGACAGGAAAGGGCTTGAAAATGAGCTGTGTCCAAGGTGACGCCCTGGGGGAGCCTAAAAGATCAGTGTCTGAATGGCACAAAGTTAAGCCTCAGCCAGCCTGTGGAAACACTGGCAAAGCCAAGAACCGAGGCGATTGAGACCTGCTACCTCAACGTGTATCTGTCCATTAGAACTCAGCTGCTCCAGAAACTTGTTTACTGACAACTGCTCTGACTTCAACGTACCTATTGTTTTGAAAAAGAATAAAAAACAAAGTCTACAGGCCATGAGACAATTCCACCTTGACTAGCTCCACAGCACAGGGTAAAATTCATAAACACATTAAGAACAAAACCGGCAGGGCACAGTGGCTTATGCCTGTAATCCCAGCACTTTGGGAGGCAGAGGCAAGAAGACTGCCTGAGCCTAGGGGTTCGAGATCAGCCCGGGCAACTTGAAGAGACCTCAATACATACATACATACATACAACATACATACATACATACATAGCTGGACATGGTGGTGCACTCCTGTAGTTCCAGCTACTTGGAAGACTAAGGCAAAAGGATCCCCTGAGCCCAGCAGGTCAAGGCTGTGGTGGCCATGAGCATGCCCCTGCACTCCAGCCTGGATGACAGAGTGAGACTCTGCCTCAAAAAAAAAAAAAAAAGAGCAAAACCATCACTCCTTTTTTGGCAGATTGATCTTCAGAACATGAAGATGGCAGTCAGTCCACATCAACCTTTTCAACACTTCAGCCTCACCCAGATAGATGGGCAACTGGTCTGAACTTGTAGGCAAGAAAAAGGAAAATCAACAAATTAAATCTGCTGATGAGTACCTCTACACATTAGCACTTTCCATTCCCAAGGAGGGTTGGGTCACTAGACAGCTTCATTAAAATAACCCTGTATCAGGGAAAGGTTTTCCCTCTAAGAAAATAAACTAGAAAAGCACAGGGAGAGTTACTGAAAGAACCACACCCACCTCCAACTGGTTTGAAATGATTTACCACTGGGATGGGAAAACAGATCACCTGGCTCCACCCTGGTGAAGGGAACACAGTTTCTTCAGCCTTGAAAAGATTGATAAGTGAGACTGTTAACTGCCTGACTAGAAGAGCTCTTAGTGCGATGCTGGACATTCATGAAATCTGTGAGTTGTTGAAAAACAAGTCATTTACATTTAATGTAAGGACAAGCTAACATGATAACTTAAGGATTTTTCCTTTCTTAAAAGCCCTACAGATTTCATCGTAGGGTATTTTATTGTTTCACTCCAAAAGCATAGTTACAACAAAATAAAGACAAGTTAAGTAGTTTCAACTTCAGCCCGCAAAAGATATGACAAAGTCTGCAAAAAGATTAAAACAAACAAAAGTAAACCTTAAAGTCAACACGTGAAATTGTAGAAACAAGTTCTGCTGAACCGAATTAAGAAGAACAGCTCCAGAAAACCCAAATACCAATTTGAACTAACAAACAAAAACATGTTGCCACAGGACTGGTCCACACAACCAAATCTAAGTCTCGCCTGGCAGTTTCGTAGACACACCCACCTTATGGTTTAAACGTGGAGTGTTGATGGTTACCACAAAACAGACCCCTAGCAACCATGATGAATCAATCAGGGACTGGATGACTCAAAAGAAGATTTTTAAAGCAAAAAAATGGGCATTGGCGGGAGTGTGAAGGGTCGGGTTTCCCCATCAAAACCCTTACTGTACACTTTCCAGGACACATAGCCTACAGGCCACCCTGGAATTTTAACTCCCCCCCAAAACAAAGCATGAGTTATAGGGAGAGAGAGTTCCCACTGTACTCCACCCCTCCCCCCCGACTTCACAACCTCCTTATTTAACAGAAACTTTTTGAAAGCACATGCTTTTCTCCTTGGTTTTATGGTCTTGATTAATGCCTGAGTCACAGGGCCAAATCATTCCCCAGAATTCCTGGAATTCAGCCCAGTGGCCTTGATCAAACTGAGCAGGACACACAATACTTGCTTCAGCTTGTCGCAAGCTGCCTAATCGGAATCAGTATGCGTTTGCTCCCTGCAGACACTTTGCTGCTCCTTGCTCTCAGAGCCTCTGTCCACCGTCTCCTGATAGGGGGTTGGAGTGAGTGGAAAGCAACCAGCAGGAGAATGATGTCACTTGGCATGAAGCACTGGCAGGGTTGGAAAATCCAGGCCTTCACAGCTACAACTCAATTTCAGTGTTTTATGGCCTACTTGTTGTACTTCCAACAGGGCCCCGCTGCCTACAGGAAAAGGTCTAAATTCAGCATTCAAGATCTTCCACCCTCTGGACTGACCTCCCTTTCCTCAAATACCTTCCACACACACACACACAAGCATACCCTGCACCAAAGTCAACCTGGACAGTTCATTCCTGTACAAACATGCTCAGCACTGTCCCACCACTTTTCCAAGTCCCCTCCACCAGCAACCTCTACCGTGATCCACTGACATCTGAGTGGGACTTTAGGACACAGAAAACCACCAAGACTACCTTTCTCACACACCCCTCCCTGCTCTGTGTGTCTGTGCAACATGGGAGTTGAGTGTGGGAAGGCTGTCTTCCATACTATCCGTCCACAGGACTTCTGACTTAGTCATTCCTGTTTTCTCGTGGATATGAGCACAGTGCCTGGCATATAACAGGCATTCAGTCTCATGTTGGGAAGATTATACACATCAGGTCTTTCTATTTTAGAAGGTCTTTTTTTTTTTTTTTCTGGAGACAGGCTCTGGCATGATCACCGTTCACTGCAGCCTCCAAGTCCTGGGCTCAAGCGACCCTGCTGCCTCAGCCTTCCGAGTAACTGGGACTTACAGGTGTGCACCACCATGCCCAGCTAATTTTTCTATGTTACTTAGAGATGGGCTCTTGCTTTGTTGTCCAGGTTGGCCTCAAGCAATCCTCCTGCTTTGACCTCCCAAAATGCTGGGATTACAGGAGAAAGCCACTGTGCCTGGCCATTTCTTCTTTTCCAACACTCTTTCCCCAATTTTCTTTCTCTCCCTCAGACTGAATGCAGTTCCAGTCCCATACGTTCAGAGCTGAAGGCTTAAATTCTCAGTCTCTTGCAAGTTTCTGCAAAGCCCGGGAGATCACTTCAGGGTCACCTCTCTCTCTCCCTATGCAGCCCGGGCCCCACATCTGCACCGTCACAGCTGCTTGGGTCCTGACTCTGTCCATAGGACAGCATGAGAATGAAGCCTACGTGAACGCAAGCAAGAAGGCAGGATGTACAAAAGGCCTCAGGACTCTGAGTATGCAGACTGGGTGTGGCAAGGAGACAAAGGACAGAGACAAAGGGATTCAGTCACAGTCACTCCCTGGAGTCAGGAATTTCCACACCAAGCCTGGGATTCGAACTCAGACCATTTCAGTGCTAAGGACTTGTACTCTAACAAGGCTGAGCTCAGGCTGGGCACAGTGGCTCGTGCCTGTCATCCCAGCACTTTGGGAAGCCGAGGTGAGAGGATTACCTGAGCCCAGGGATTCAAGATCAGCCTAGGCAACCTTGTCTCTACCAGAAATCAAAAAAAATTAGCCCAACATGGTGGTGCGCGCCATAGTTCCAACTACTCAGAAGGATCACCTGAGCCCAGCAGGTTAAGGCTGCGGTGGCCGTGAGCACGCTACTGCACTCTAGCCTGGGTGACAGAGTGAAACTCTCAACTCAAAAAAAAAGAGAAGAAAAAAGGCTGAGTTCAGATGACTTAAACACTTCAGGGTATACTCTAGAAGGGAGATTCGGAGGCATTCTCAGTGGAACCACCCAGAAGCACAAGTGTGGTACCCCAACTGCTGACCTGACCCCTCAACAAAGCAGAAGAGGACAGCCTCTGGCAACAGCAGAGGAAAATGTATACCAGTTAGTGAATGGGTGGATTTTTTTTTTTAATTTTCTAAGTAACTCTACCCATATGACCTTTTAAAATAATTTTTTTTTAATCTAGGTCACCCAGGCTGGAATTCAGTGGCAGGATCATGGCACACTGCAGCCTCAGCCTCCTGGGCTACGGTGATGCTTCGGCCTCAGTCTCCCAAAGAACAGGGACTACAGCTACGCTTCACCATATCCGGCTAGAATTTTTTTTAAGTACTGGAATTTCCTTTGGTATGGCCTACAACTAGACTAGGGTGTGGCACTAGGGAAAATGAGGGAAGAGGATTCTCATGTGCAAAAAAGGAGGAACATTCCATTTCTATTTAATCAAACTGGAAGGCTGGTTAAGACACCAAAAACCTTAAACGACACTCCCTTCAAGGTAGACTATGTTCAAGTCTGTGAACACCTGGATGAAGGGAAAATGAGCCCCAGCCATGTTTGGAAAC